TGAATTGCTGAGTACATGCATTTGTAGTTCTGCAGATTTTGCCCAGTTTCCCTCCATTTAGAGTTGGAGCAGTTTCTCCGCTTACAGTGTGTAAGAGTGACGACGTGTGGTTTATTTGTACGAGTGAAACAGAAGACGACCTTAGTGTCCTGCACACCTGTGGTCCCTTTCTCATCTCAACCCTGCCTGTCCTTATGTACAGATTTTTCTTTTTTTTAATCCTCACCCGAGGATATTTTTCCATTTATCTTCAGATAGAGTGTGAGGGATGGGGGGGGGTAGAGAAAGAGAGAGAGACATTGATTGGTTGCCTCCTGCACAACCCTGACCAGGGCTGGGGACTGAACCATAACTTTGATTGGAATTGAACCCTCGACTCTTTGGTCTGCAGGCTGATGCTCTACCCGCTGAGGCAAACCGGCCAGGACTAGATTTTAATATCAGACTACACATTGTATTCAAGATTAGTTTCTCATAAGCAGCGATTGGTTGATTTATACTTTTCAAACTGCTTGGTTGTTAGCATACTTTGTTTTACTTTGGGAGTTTTGTGAATCTGATTTCAGCATTTTCCGACTGTCAGATAAGCTTTGGGGAGGTACTGGGAACGAGCACTGAGGAATCGCTAGCTGCGGAGATGGGGTGGGAGAGCTGACGGCCTTTCTGCAGAGAGGCCTTGAGAGTGGGGCCCAGCTCCCTTCTGAGCACGGGCGGGCCGATCGGGGCGGAGCAGCTCCCGGGGAGTCCTTTCAGGTTTCACTCCCAAGAAGTCCTGCAGTTATGTTTATTAGTTGAGAAAAAAAATTTAGAAAAGACCACACAGAATTCTCAAGAAATACTTTGGAGATATGGTGGGTTTGGCACCTGGAACCCGCGCCCACGTTTCCTCTCCCGTCCACTGGCCTGGTCGTGGAAAGGTGGTGGAAACTCGATTTTTCTCGCTAAGCCGGAACCAGGAAGTCTTCTCTCCCCTGCCCTGCTCATTATCCCACACTGGACATTTTTGTTTCTCACTAGAAGACGCATTTTGGGGGCAGTGGTGTGGGGATGGGAAGTAGAAATCTACCTGCCTGGTTATTTTATTTTTTAAGTATGCACGTTGATGTTGATTGATGGAAGGAACTCCTCCCCCACCCCGAAACCATTTGAAATAGCTAAATAACTTTTTACAAATGTTGCACAAAAGAAGGAAAGTTCACCATTTCATTTTATTTAACTTCCTTTATAAAACCTGAAAGATAGTACAGAATAAAGCAACCAGAGATATCTCAGTTATGAATATAGATGTAAAACATCAAAACAAACCTTAACAGATGGAATTTCACAATGTATGAAAACTATGACCAACTTGAGTTTATGCCAGGGGTGCGCAAGGTTGGTTCAGAATGGAGACATTCTCTCAGCAGGATTATATTAGCAGCTGAAAGGAAAAAGAAAACGCGTGATCAGAGCAGCAGATGCTGATTGGGCATTTGATAAAAAGCGTAGTAACCATTTCTACTAAGTAGAAAAGGGAACTGCTACAGTATGTCAGATGCTTCTAAAAATCACTCCTAAATACTCGAAACCATGCAATGCTACAGCCATTTCATTTAAACTCACAGCTAAGCAGGGATGCTCACACATTTAATACTGTTCCTCTTTTTTTGTTGTTTTTATCCTCACCCGAGGACATTTTTCCATTTTTTGTTCAGATAGAGAGAGAGGAAGAGAGAGAGAAACATCGATGTGAAAGGGACACATCAAGTAGTTGCCACCCACACGACCCAACCAGGTCTGGGGACAAACTGCAACTGAGGTACGTGCCCTTAGCGGGAACCGAACCTGGGTCTCTCTGGACCACAGGCCGATGCTCTAACAACTGAGCCAAACTAGCCAGGGCTCTTTTTTTTTTTTTAATGTTGGATTGTATACTTTACTACTATTCATTTAATTATTTATTTGTTTATTTTTTGGTGCGTGCCCCTAGTGGAACCAAATCCAGGACTCTCTGGTCCACAGACCGACACCAACTGCTGAGCCAAACCAGCCAGGCTCTTTTCTTTTTTTTAATTTTTTTTTTCTTTATTGATTTTATTTTATTTATTTATTTATTTGTTTGTTTTATTTTTTTATTCCTCACTCGAGGACATTTTTCCACTTATTATCAGATAAAGTGAAAGGGAGGGAGAGAGAGAGAGAGAAAAACATTGATGTGACAGAGCCACATCGAGTGGCTGCCTCCTGCACGACTTGACCAGAGCTGGGGACAAACCACAACTGAGGTACATGCCCTTGACCGGGATCAAACCCGCAACTCATTGGTCCACGGGCTGACACTCTAACCACTGACCCAAACCGGCCAGGGCTCTTTATTGATTTTAGAGAAAGAGGAAGGGAGAGGGAAAGAGAAATAGAAACATCGATGAGAGAGAACATTGATTGGCCACCTCCTGCATGCCCCCTACTGGGGATTGGGCCTCTTGGTGCATTGGTCAACGCTCTAACACTGAGCCACACCGGTCAGGCTGACACCACGTCTCTTTATTGGTCTTGGAGGCAAGAAAGAAGAGGCATGGTATAAAGATTGGAATAGAAAGTTAACTCTCTTTTTGGCTAGTTATGTGACTTTATACTTACCAATCCCAAGAGATTTTAGTTTAAAAACATTAATAAGATTCATAGAAGGCTGGCAGGATAGCTGAAAATAGCCTGAATGGTTATTAAAACAGAATTTTTCTCTGTACTTTGAAATAAGCACCTAAATTTTGAAATGGAAATGTTCCATTTAAAATAGTTACAAAAGTGCCCTGGCCGGTTTGGCTCAGCGGTTAGAGCGTTGACCTGTGGTCCAGAGAGACCCGGGTTCGGTTCCCGCTAAGGGCACGTACTTCGGTTGCAGTTTGTCCCCGGCTCTGGTTGGTCGTGTGGGTGGCAGCCACTCGATGTGTCCCTTCCATGTCGATGTTTCTCTCTCTCTCTCACTCTCACTCTATCTGAACAAAAAAGAAAAAAAATAAAAAAATAAAACAAATAAAATATTTACAAAAGTAATAAAATTTCTAATAATACATGTAACAGAAAAGTAATTATATGAAGAAAGTGATAAAATTTTATTGAAGGAAGTGTTAGTAGAAATGAACATTCTGTTTCATTTGGTGGACAGATGATCATAAATAAGTTATTTCTCCAAAAGTTAATAAATATGTTTAATGCAGTTTCAGCTTAGATTCCAATAGAGTTGTTTATAGAATTGATAAATTATCTCTGAATTCATAGGGAAAAAGAGACGTCTATGAGTAACCTAACAAAGTTTTCTTTTCTTTTTTTAAAAGGCTTGCCAGGTATCAGAATGTACCATAAAGCAAGTGTGATCAGATCACTGACATGTTGATGGAACTGTCCAACCAGCATAGATAATCCAGAAACAGTGAACATTTAGTTCAGTAAGAAGAGGATGGGCTAGTTACTAAAATTGCTGGGAAGGCCAGGTATCTGTCTGGAGGAAAGAAGCCCGAGGCTGGGATAACGGACCACACATACGCACGCAGTCACAGTCGGTTTAAAGATTGAAATGTAATAAAATAATCTTAGAGAATAAAGGACTAGAAATCTACAAGCCGTGTGATAAAAAGTATATGTAAAAATGTAGACTTTCTTACAAAAAAGATACTGTACACAATATGAACAAATAAGTTTTTAAAAATCTTTCAGCAGCTGACCAATAAACAGTTCATATATAATATACAATAAGTTCTTATAAACGGACTAGAAAAAGACATGCAGTCTATCAGAAAACTTGGCAAAGGATGTGAATGAGTAATTCATGTATGAACCCAAATGACCAGGAGACATGGAAGCAGTGCCCGGGCTCCGTAGTGGCGAGCGGACTTCAGGGTCCCTGATGGCTGCAGGAGGCCAGGGGCGGTTCTGTCCGAGGCAGAACCTTCCTGTCGCTGCGGGGTTCCGTTTCCTGCTTTGTGACCTTTTTTTATTTTCCAAAATTGTTGACTTTTATACTTTTTAACATGTTTAGAGATTTTTCATCTTTGTTATATGTCATGGTTTTAAATTGTTTCATATATTCTCTCTTTGAGTTAATTCTAGCAATACTGTTATTACTTATTGATTATTATAGAATCACTTTCTATGAAACTTAATTTTCTTTTTTGGATACTCCCTAGATGTGGCTCATTTAAAAGATTGCTAGTCATGGCATTTTGATTGGAGAAGCTGGTCTTATCATTTGATGTTTCAGATAAAATTTTCTTAACATTGGTTTAAAGAACAAATCCTCACTCCTTTAACATCTAGACTAAAAGAAATGAAATCTGAATGAACATTTTCACGTAGCAGAGGTCGAGTCATGAACACACACAGTGCTTTGCATCGGAGTTTCCAGTTGCAAGTGCAGAGAATGTCCTTTACATAAAAGCTCATTGCAAGTTGCACTTGACCATTTATGTCTGAGCGCTGTTTTCAAATAATAAACACACTTGTAACTTCAGTTAATTAATATTCACAGCTTTAAGTCCAATAGGAGCATAGCATGTCATAGCATGGCGTGGCCCCATGGTGAGGTTGGGAGAACCCACGGAGTTGAGTACAGTCTAGTCATTTATCTCAAGTAATATACTTTGTGTTCCTGAGTACTTTTTTCTAGCACTTTGATTGTGACATAATTTACATAAAATTCACCCTTTTTAAGTGTACAATTCCTTGGTGTTTAGTCTGTTGAGAGTTCTACACCCATCACCACTATCCAGTTTTAGCACATTTTCATCACTCCAAAAAGTTACCTGTTTGATATCTAAAGTCCATATCCTGACATTCAGACGGAAAATCACCTCATGTATCATATAAGTAAATGACACCACGATAAAAAGTGTTTTATATTTATGTGAAACCGTCAGTATTTCCAGCCTACTCCCTGTAGCTTGGTAAATCCATTTTGTCTGGTGTTACGTGTTTGTGGAGCTGGGGGTGGCTGTGGTCTTCTGAACCGTGCTGTCGGTCTGCAGGGCCCTAGCTGACATGAATAACGACGGCAGAATGGATCAAGTGGAGTTTTCCATTGCTATGAAGCTCATCAAACTGAAGCTCCAAGGGTATCCGCTCCCATCCGCGCTCCCCGCTGTCATGAAGCAGCAGCCCGTAGCCCTTCCCAGCGCACCAGCTTTCGGTGAGTTTGAAAAGGACCTGGTCCCTGTATTTCACTGTGTAGCTTACAAAGAAATGTTTCCCTTTGTGCCCGCTCAGTTCCTAGCACTGCGAAGTTCCAGGAGGTGCTTCTGTCCGAGCTCGATGGGCCTGGGAAGGAAGGCAGCGCTGGGGAAGGCGCAGGCCCTCCCCCCTCTGAGCGTCGCGTCCGCATGGAGCAGAGGGCAGAGCAGAGGGCAGAACAGAGGGCAGGCGTGGGTGAGAGGGGGCCTGCACCTGCGTCCGCGCCTGGCTCCTGCTGGGCTGCTTCTCCACCCCCGTGTCACAGGCTTCCTTTTCCTGTGCCCTGCATCTTCATTTCTCGTGTGTGTAAACAGCTCCTTTGGACTATGGTGTCTCAAGATATATGTCTGAATTCACAGTATTGAGGCAGTTGGCCACATGAAATTCTTTTAGGACAAAATGAAGCAGTAAAAAAATAAAGTGTTATCCCAATCGTAAACATAGTTCTTTAAAATACAATCTTTTCGCCAGATAGTTTTCTTAAAAATCAATTAGTGATTGTTTACCACCTGTTCTGATTTCTCCTTGTTCTCAGCCCAGACTTTGATCGTTTAGGTTGGTTGAAAGATTGCAGCAGTCAGATGGAATGTGTGATTTATAGGAAAGTTCTCCCTGAGATCCCCACACAGGTGATAAAGTGAAGTAGATTTGAGAGAGTCTGGCAGTGGTGACTCAGTTTGTCTTGGTGCAGCTTATGATAAGCTGAGATAAGTAAATGCTTTTGTTTTACTTGATAGGTTTCCTATTAAAGACAACCTGTACATGGCCTTTCTTTGGTGAGATTTGGCCACATGCCTGGTTTTTATAAGGGGAAAGGTACGGGATCTGAGGTAGGCAAGTGGGACAGTGGCCCAAGAGAAGGGAAAGTCAGTCATGCACGGGCCGAGGCAGGCAGAGCCGCAGTGAGCAACGCAGTGGGTGCCCAGGGGCCAGGCCCTGCCCATCGTGTGCTCACAGGGTCTAACCCTTTGTTAACCAGCTCAGAACGGCTTCCCTTCCAGAGCTGCAAGAAGAAACCTCAGTGGAGAAAGGGTCAGATAACCAGAGGCATCCCATTTCCTCTTTTTCTCTCAAACCCCTGTCAGTAATCTCTCCTTTGACATTTAATATGCCTTCTCTTATTCACATTCTGCTATCAAAATTTCAACTCTAGAGATACTGCTGATTTATTTCCAGGAGGTGGTGGCCTCTCTACTCAGAGGGCTTTTCAGTCACTGAGTGACCTGCCTGTGCAGGTCCCTGGGCTTTGTGATCTGACGTCCTGCCAGGCGTCTGTAGCTCTTCCCTTGGTCCCCCGCCACCTTTCACCCCATTCACATTGCATCAGCATTCTCAGCAGACTGTTTTCAAGAGGGTAAGGCACGAGGACGTTCAGAACCTAAGACAAGTTGAAAGGACACGGTCCTCATCAAGTTTGCCCAGGCGTATTCAGAGATCTGGCCTGTGTATTTTTAGTTCCATGTCTCAGCTCAACCCCGGGTAATTTTTTTTCTTACACTCCTGGCTACTTAAAAACAAAATATTTTATTACTATTATCATTATTTTCTAATAATATGAAACATTATCTGGCCAGGCATTTCCTAGTCCTTACACAGTGAGCTTTCACATACAGAATAGTGTATTTGGTATACAATAACTCTAAAGTATAGCCCTGTTATATAAATGAGAGAACTGAGATTCTAAGAACTTGAATAGTATGCTTAATTAAGATCACATTTCTACAAAGGGAGGTAGAGCTTGTCCAAATACAGTTTTCCTAAAGCTCTCACTTTCCTTATTTTACCCTTCTCTCCCCACCTTTATTATTACCAGACCATCCGGGTGACAGGGGGCATTAGTCTTCTAGGGCCGTGTGTGCGTTAGTGCAAACATTGACTGCTGTGGGGTTGAAGCCAGCAATCATTTTGTTCAGCTCCCCTACGTTAAGAGGAGGACAGGGGTGTGCAGAGACACTGTGACTTGCCTGAGGGTGCCCAGCTGCATTCCAGGAAAGGCTCTGCGCATGCCCAGTCCTTCTTCCTTCAGCGGTTTGCACACAGCAGTTCTTCTTTTACTCTGGACCCAACTGTTTCTAGAGAAGTTAATTTTCTTTTGTTTGATGATTCTTCTCTCTCTCTCTTTTTTTAATCCTCACCTGAAGATATTATTCCATTTATCTTCAGATAGAGTGAGAGGGAGGGAGGGATGGAGGGAGGGAGAGAGACACATCGGTGTAAGAGAGACATATTAATTGGTTGCCTCCCACACGACCCCGACCAAGGCCGGGGACGGAACCTCAACTATGGTAAGTGCCCTTGACTAGAATTGAACCTGCAGCTCTCTGGTCCACAGGCCAGCGCTCTTAACTGCTGAGCCAAACCGGCCAGGGCTTCTTGTTTGATTCTTTAAGAAAATTGTATTTATATATTTTCAGCCAGAGTCCATGGTTCTATTGAAGTAAACCTATACATATGTTTTTTTTTTTCTTTATTGATTTTAGAGAGAGAGGAAGTGAGGAGAGAGAGAGAGAAATATGGATGAGAGAGAACATCGATTGGCCGCCTCCTGCATGCCCCCCACTGGAGATTTGGCCCACAACCTGGGCATGTGCCCTGACCGGGAATCAAACCGGCAACCTCTTGGTGCAGGGTCGACGCTCATCCACTGAGCCACACCTGCCAGGCTGAAGTAAACCAACATTTTTAATCCCCAACTGTGAGTCCTGGTCGCTGGGAACATGGTGATGAGAAGGACATCGTGGTTCCTGCTGCTCTGAAGCTTCTTGTCAAGTTAGGAGAAGCAAGCAAGTAGCTAATAAACAAGGGTCCCGATAGGGACCAGTGGTCAGGGTGGTCAGGGGAGCATCCTCTGAGGAGCTGACTTAGAGGTGAGAGCCAGGCGCAGACAGCGGATAAGGCCTCCCGGCAAAAGGAAGAGCAGACCGCAAAGGTCTTACGACAAAACTAGCTGTGGGAAGCAGACGGAGTGGTGGGGCTGAAGCATCGGTGGGCTGACGGTCGGGGACTTAGGCAGGAGCTGCTGGTGTAGGGCCTGGTAAAGTCACGAGGACCCGGGCTTTCTTTTCCAAGCGCCTTTGAAAGCTCCAGGGGCCTTGGAAGTCGGAGAGTGACTCGCACGTGCCGCCTGTGCTGTCTGAAGACCGACTGCCGGGGCCCGAGACGGTGGCGATTCCGTCTGGGTGCTGAAAACCACAGCAGGAGATGGAAGAGGTTCGGGTCTTCATATCTCGGGTTCTGGAGGAAAAGGAAATCAGGTTTTGTCTGTGTTCAGTTTGAGGGGCCTAGAGCTCCAAGTTGAGGTGTTGAGGAGGCAGATGAGTCCACAGGCCTGGAGCTCAGGAGGGACCCATCAGCTCCGGGAGAGTGTGCGTGTGGGTGGCATCGCGGGCCTCGGGACCAGACGGGACAGCTACGGAGAAAGCGGGGCTCGTGGGCAGAGGCCTCGGGGCGTGCCCTGGCAGGATCGCCACTGGAGGTCGGGTGGGCGGACGGCGCTCCACGGAGGAGGGCGTGCTCCGTTGTCCGGTTGCTGCCGAGAGAGTAGGAATAGGACGGAAAGGTGTTGGGTTTGACAAGAGGACTTTGCGGGTGACCTTGACAAGCAGTTTCATGGGGGCTGTGGGGGCTAAAGCGTGGTTGGGGGCTTGGAAGAGGGGAGAGTTGAACTGTGGGAGCTGCAGCCGGAGGAGCGGATTGCTGAAGGTGTGTGTTTGGGGTGGGAAGTGCCTGCCAGGGGAGGTCGAGGGGACTCCGTGACTGAGGAGGGATTTTCAGGGAGGACTTAGCACGTGACTGCTGGCACTGGTGGCATTTGTTAGGTGTGCTGTGCGACTAGGCGGTCACTCACATCAGAACTCGGTTCCTGCCGCAGTTGGAAGTCACCAGATCTGTGCGGTGGCCCGTGCACGGTAACAGAGAACGAAGACTTAGCAGTCAGGAGGGATGGCTCCCAGCACTCAGCTGCAGGGGGTGTGTATTTAGAAATATACAGAATATTCATTCAGAAACGGTAGCCAGTCAGTTGGTAAAAGGACAGCCTTTGCATTGGCTACTGAAAAGCTGAGCAAGTCACTTAAAATGGGAACACTGGGATGTCAGAGAGTAGGGGCCAAGAATGTGGCTGGGAGACGTGGAGCAGTCTGGGTCCTGCGAACTCTCAAGTCCCACCCGGCAAGGCTGCCTTTCAGGAGAGACGACTGGGAGTGCAGTCAGAGTGAGCGGGACAGACGGGGTTGTCCAGGGCAAGAGGGACATGCAGACAAAGAGAAGGTCCAGACCAAAGGGCGGGAGGAGAGCCAAGACCGAAGGCCCCGGGAGCCAGGCTCCTGTGAGACTGAGTGACAGGTGGTGTCGGCAAGGTCGAAGCCCACACAGAGTTATAATTAGAAGAAAGGGAATAAAGAGGCAAATAAAAGCCCCGTGGGCAATGCCAGCACTCGAGTGACCTCCTGTTTCAAAACGAGCTCAACGATGCTAAGAAAGTGGCACGAGTCATGAAAGACCAGCGGCAGTCAGAGTGTGAAGACTTCAGAACGAAGGTGACAACACCCAGGAAAGAGGGAGAAATAAAAGCCATTTCAGGAATGAAGTCTAAACTAGAAGCCAGGCAAGACATACTGTCGGAAGAGGAACAGGAGGTAAAAAGAGGAAGATTTCAAAAATGAATAAAGAAAGGGTCGGTGGAGAAGTGACAGATAGTGAAGGCAGAGGAAGTTGAACGTGTGGTTAGTTGGAGTCCCCGAAGAAGAAACCACAGAAGAAGCGGAGCACATGCCACAGCCAGTTCCGGGCGACTTCCCTGCAGTGAAAGGCCTGGAGCTGCATTGGGGACAGTGCAGCGTGTGCCTGAGGTCAGTGATGCTAGATGTGTTCTAGTGACACAGCGCTTTGCGCACGTCGAAGAAGCCAGCTCATGGCTCACGGGAGAGGGGATCAGGCTATTTCAGCCGTTCTTGTGGCAGCACCCCGTGTGCCAGAAGGGCACAGGGTGGGTCCTGAGCATTGTGAAGTCAGGGCGCCACTCCCAGCACGTGCACGTGTTCACAGCGGGAAGCTCTGCAGAGGATGCTCCGTCAGGCAGGAAATGAGCAGGGGCTGCGGGGCTCCAGCAGGAGCCAGCAACTGGACGAAGACCAGACACACGACTCGTACCCATCACAGTATCACGAGTTGAGACAAAAACAGAAAAAGGAAGGAAGCATTCGTTTCAGTTTTATCATTTCTTCATTTTTTTTGTTTGGAATACTTCTATAAGGAGAAACTTCCCCATCAAATGTTTGATATGTAAAGGAGAGGCAGGAAGAATATTTGATTTTTTTTCCCCCTTTATTTACTAGTTTTCAAAATAAATTGATTACCTATGGTGACCAATTGGGATTTTTCAGTGTGTTGTTTTAAATGCCATTATGAATTCCTGAAGTTAATTCTCTTTGGTGGCTTTCAGTCCATTGCAGTTATTGTTTTGATTGACGCTTAACTTTGACTAGTAGATCCCTCTTCAGATTGGATCTTGATCCTTGACATAGTCTTTGGTACTCTTCAAAATGATTAACCTGAATTCATATTTTAAATGGGAATATATTACAAATGGAAAGTGATTTTCATCTTTAAGCAGTCCTGGGCTAATTGTCATTAACTGTTGAAATGTGACTCCATGTGAATGTGTTGGCATCTCTTCCTTTGTAGGTATAGGAGGCATCGCCAGCATGCCACCGCTCCCGACTGTTGCTCCAGTGCCAATGGGAACCATCCCAGTTGTCGGGATGTCCCCACCCCTAGTATCTTCCGTTCCTCCAGCAGCAGTGCCTCCCCTGGCCAACGGGGCCCCCCCTGTTATACAGCCTCTGACTGCATTTGCTCATCCCGGTATGTGACCTGATGAACCCATGGCCTGATTTTACCACTTGCATTCTCGATAAATCTTCTGTCTTCATTTTCTGATGATATTTAAGTGGTATTTTTATTCCAGAGGAAAATATCTTCTTTTTTTCTTTTTTCATTTAATTTCTCATTCTTTTCAACATACCAACTGGGACGTGCAAGGCTAGAGAGAGGGGAAGGAGAATGGAGTTAGGGAGTTCTGGGTACCACTGTCTGCAAAGGTGAGCTCAGCAGCTGAAACCAGGAGCATCATTTCCCTTCAAGGGCTTGACACCAGCAAATAAAGTTTGAACAGTGTGTGAACATTTTGTATTTCCATGTGTCAGTTACTACTTTTCTTCAACTGCTCTGACTTGCTAATAATGAGCCAGTCCCTTCAGAGTAGAATTATTGGGCAAGAGGGAGGGAGAACATTGCTTTTGTTGTTATTGTTGAAGAGGTTGAGTGAACCAGGCAGACAGAGGAACAAATTCTATTAAATGACTAAGTAGATGAAGGTATATATATTTGCTTAATTGAAGAAAAGGATTTAAAAATTCCTGGTTTAATTTCGAGATTTTATTCAGTCTTTTTCCCTTTAATTAAAAGAAAGCATCAAGTATAAATATAGATAGACTTGTCTAACAAATCTTGCTGAATTCCTATGGAAAATACGTATACACACACACACACACATTTTAAATATGTTTTCATTGATTTTTTTTTTTTTTTTAGAGCGAGAGGAAGGGAGAGAGAAATAGAAACATCGATGTGAGAGAGATACATCGATTGGCTGCCTCCTGCACACTCCCTATTGGGGATCCCCCTATTGGGGATCAAGCCTGCAACCTAGGCATGTGCCCTAACCTGGAATCAAACCAGTTCCTCTCAGTCAGTCCACTGAGCCACACCGGCCGGATGGAAAGTATATATTTTTAAGCATTTTGGATATGTTTGAGTAAATTCAGTGGCGATGACAGTGTAGGATTTAGCATTATATTTGTTTTGTTTTTTAAAAAACTTGTTTTTATTGATTTTAGAGAGGAAGGGAGAGGGAGAGAGAAACAAACATTCATCTGCTGTCTCCCGCATGCCCCCTACTGGGGATTGAGCCAAAACCCAGGCATGTGCCCTGATGGGCAAATCGAACCAGTGACCTCTCCATGCAGGGACAATGCTCAGCCACTGAACCACAGCTGCTGGGCTTATGTTTGAATCATTATTTCTGTGCCTAGCCCCCTGGATTTATTACATCTGTCAGGATGTGTCTTTTAGTTACAGCCACAGAGTGTAATGTCCCTCTTTTCGAAAAAGATTTTCTTGTCACATGTAGCTCACCTTTCACGTGTGCCCATGATGGCAGATGTGCTAGCAGCCAAGAAAATGCTCGTGACGGTTTTTGCAGTGATATCAGTGAGTCCGTGCAGATCTTGTTTTTGTTTGTGGCTAATGGCAAACGCTGCAAGACATTAGGCAAGGATGAGGGGAATGTGGCCAGGCTCCGAGCTCTCCCCAGATGCACAGCTAAGCAGCCTCTAGGAGGATCGCCCGCAAAGCTGGCCCTCCCTAGCCTCGCGTTATCTGGCCAAGCACGCAGGTCTGAGACTTCAGCTCTGACATCTGGAACTCACACTGCATCTCCTTCAGCACAGTCAGGAACATGCCACCCATATATTTAGGCTGGTCCTTCTCTAACTGTTGACATACCCTATAAAATAGGATATTAAATGTTTAATGAGAAGTAAGATTTTATGACTGTAAACATTACTACTTAATAAAGTGACTTTCAATGGGAACAAGTCAGTCTAGAAACATTTTTGGCAAGAGGGTGGGCAGCAAGGCGGGAATAACTTTTTGAGTCCAGGATGGGGAAAGAAGGAGGAATAATTTCTGCCTCAGACTTGATGACTATGCATTTTAATTTTTGTAAATAAGGAAAAGTTTCTTATCGTTGTAGAATTAAAATTATTCAACATTTATTTATTTTTACAGCAGCCACATTGCCAAAGAGTTCTTCTTTTAGTAGGTCTGGTCCAGGGTCACAACTAAACACTAAATTACAGAAGGCACAATCATTTGATGTGGCTAGGTAAGTTTGCTTGTTTTTAATTGGGCAGTTTGGTTAAAGTCATTATCTGATAAACTCAAACGTGAAAATGAATGAGCCATGTTCTTCATGATTTTCTGTTTTGTAGAATGGCAAACAATTTCTCAACTCAGGATAATGTTACTAGGTTTCACCATTTATTTGTTGTGGAGATGACAGAATCAAGGGCGTGACATTTTCTTTAAAGGTTGTTTTTGAAGAGTGTAGGTAGTGAAGATTTAAACAAATCGAATAGAACTCTCGGTATAAGGGGAGAAAGCAAGTTAACTATTTTGTGTTACTCATTAAAAGTTTATAAATGTTTTATATGAAGATTAGAGCCATAATTGGGCTTATTTTAAATTCCAGCTCAGAAAATCTTCTGTAGTCTGTGTGAATTATTAGTAAACCCTTATTCAAGGTCAATTTTTATGAAATGAATTATTCAGATTAGTGGACAGTTGTTGTTAACCAAATGTGTGGCTCAGTTTTGGCAAAGCTGATGTGGTTTCATTGTTTATTCTTTGGCCAATCTTGGTTTCATATCATCTTTCACATTCTTATGTTCTTTTACCTCTGTTTTCCGCCTTGCATGTCACTGCACTAAGAAGAAAACTTAAGCTTTCTTTGGAAGCCATCTCAAAACTTATGGAATGTAAAGGAAGACGATTCCATCTTTTTTTGTTTCAGTTCTCTTTAGAAATCTTTCCTAAGTGAATCAAGTTATTTTTCCACTTCAAAGATAAAAGTGTGTTGGATACAATTTAGAAATGTATCACCTTTTAAAAAAATGGTTTAAAGAAAATCTATAAACTGAAAAGCACTGTACCAAATGCTCTGTGTCCAGTAACTCATTTAATGCCCACTTTCTCCACAAAATGACTCTTACTGTCCCTGTGATAGATGAGGAAGCAGCTCAGACATTAAGTGACTTGCTCAAAGTAACATAACTCTTCAGTGATAGAGGGCTCAGAACTGAGCTGAGTTCTTTCGGTTCTGAGACATGTGTTCTTGCCCCTGGGAGTTTGCTCCAAACCAGCAGTGAGTGTGGTGCACAGATATCCGTGTTCCCCTGGTTAAGGTCCTTCCTAAGACCCTGGAACCTGTGTGAGCATCTGCTCACCAGAGACCTTATTAGTCCTACCCAAGCCCCACACCCGCTGTGCAGTGAGCGTCGTCTCGGAGTTGAGAACAAGAAGATGAACCCGAGGGGCTGCGTTCCGCACCCAGGCTCGCAGCTTGCTGGTGGCAGAGCCGCGCTGGCAGCCCAGGCCCTCTGACCCTGAGTTCCAGGTTCTGCGCCTTCTCCAGGCCACGCCGAAGGGTTGCCTTGTCCCGCTCTCTCCACTGGCGACTTTGAAATCTGTCTTAAAGTTGATTTATGACATTGGAATGCACAAGTAATCAGTATTACCCAACACTAATGCTGTTTTGACACTGTTTTTAGATAGTCATCTTTTCAATAATTTAATTTTCTAGCAAATTCTTGTAATGTGGTATCTAGCTTTGGTTACCTCTTAAATATTTTTAGTTCATTTAAATTCTCAGGAAGTTGGCAGAAGACTGCCTTGATAAGGGTAATCTGGGGCCACGTCTGTGTGGAACTCTGCCCCTGCGTGCAGAGGAAAGATAGCTGGCTTCCGGACAAGCGGGCAGGGTTGGAACCGGCAGAGCATTAGTTTAAAATGAGGGAGTTGTTGCAGAGGTGCCCACAGCAGAGTAGATGTTGGTAAGTGGTTTTCATTAAGACGTTTATACAAATGGAAAAGGTGAACGTGTCCAGGTTCTTTCAGGTGATTGGGAGCCATTTCCTATACTTATGAAGTGTGTGTAATAAGTTAAATGCACAGATAGCATGTAAATGATGACTTAGAGCTCCAGTTTCTGATTCGAATGTTGCTGTTACATGTGAGAAGTATGTTTTTGTTGAAATGAAAGGAAATGGCAAATGGGGCATGAGGTGTAGTCTGCCGTGGAAATGGAATCCACTTTTACTGTCATCATGTTTCATTATGCGGCTCTTAAGCCCCGGGTGCCCTGGGAGACTTGGGGGCAGTTGCTTGGAGGAGCTGATCCGAGGCTGGCCCCCAACTGCCTGGCCGGGCTTGCTCCCCGTGACTGCACGTTCTCCCCTTCCTGGGAAAGTCTCCAAGTGTGGGAGTTGAAGCTTCCAGCGTGGAATAATTCCCTTTCATTGAGAATTGCAGTCTGTGTTTTGGTGTGTAGAAGGTTAAACATTTTGAAGAATTAATACCCATGAAGGGAGTTATTTGTCTACTATCAGCATTGCTTTTTAAACCAGAAGAGAACCATTCTAGAAGTTTAGACCCTTTAAATTATTGTGTGTGGAGCCTGAAACAGCTGCTCAGCCTGTCACGCTAACGCTTGACTCTGGAAAGGCCATACGCTTACTTGTATCTCTTTGGAAAGGGATATTTATAACCTTAGAAAACGGACATACTCATTACAGAACATTCCGAAAGTGCGGCTCAAAAATGAATAGAAGGTTGAAGCTGGTTTTCTAGAGAAGTTCTTGCTTGACTGTTTGAAGAACCTCAGTAGGCTGCTCCTGACTGTTTACCCCTCCCCTCTCCTTCCTGTCTCCCCAGTGCCCCTCCGCTGGCAGAATGGGCTGTCCCCCAGTCGTCCAGGCTGAAGTACAGACAGCTGTTCAATAGTCACGACAAAACTATGAGTGGACACTTAACAGGTATTTACAAAGAAAAATTAACTTAGTGAAACAGGATCTTTGTTCTAAATACAACTTGTTTCTAGATGTTGGGCCAAAGATAGTTTCCGAACATCTTCCTCTACTTGCTCTTTTTGAACAGGGTTTTCATTGTGGTTCCTCTCCTGAGTTCCCGTCAACTGATAAAGCCACAGTTACTGTATCCTTAGTGCCTCAGACTTTTGCCCCACAGCTTCTTGGTGAATGGAACAGAGACCATGGACCCTCCTGTATGAATGCCACTAGTGTGCAGGTCACAGCACTAGCAGAGACACGCTGCGAGCAGAACTGTTCAGGTTCTGAAGCCCAGCTTTGTAGATGAACCAGAAACGGCCCCCGCACAGACAGTGTTCCTGGCAGGGAGGAGGGAAGGCAGCTGGCTGCGGAGCTTGGAACTTGGCTCTGCTGCTAACAAGGTGGAGGTCACTTTACCTGTTTGGATCTGATTTCTTCATGTGCAAGAGGCCAGAGTTCAGTTATATGATCTCAATGGAGATATGTAGATATATATATGTTTTTTTCTTTGTTATTGTTAATCCTATCCTGAGGATATTTTTTCATTGATTTTCAGAGAGTGTGGAAGGGAGTGAGGGAGGGAGAGAGGGTGGGAGAGGAACACTGATGTGAGAGAGACACATTATTTGGTTGCCTCCCGAATGTGCCCCAACTAGGGCCAGGGACCAAACCCGCAACCCAGGTATGTTCCCTTGACCGGGAATCGAACCTGAGACACTTTAGTCCTTGGGTCAGTGCTCTAACCACTGAGAAAACTGGCCAGGGCACGGTGGATAATTTTTAAAAACGATTCTGTAATCTACATCAAAAGGGTAGAATGGATTTGAGGATACTGTCCAGAGACCTTTCTGATGAGGGATTAAACACTTAAAATTGATCAGAGCACTACAAAGAAAAGCCTAATTTTAATAACAGAAAATAGAGACCTATGACATTTACAAAAACAAGTGGTTCTCCAGTTGTTGTTGTAGCTCATTTCCTTTGAGGTGAAGGAACTTCCCCTTAGAGAGCGCAAGTCATCTTGTCGGTGTCTCATTAGGGAGTGGGAAGACCAGGACTGGGGGCCCTGTCTTGTGATACCCAGGTCCAGGGTTAGTTCTTTTCATTGTTGTTTTACTTTTTATTGGGAGGAGGTGAAATACTAACTTTTTAAAAAATATAGTTCTGAAGTGGGGAGAATTATTACAAGTATAAATTAAAGTATTCACTAAAGTTTTGCTAATTCAACTTAAATATTGCCAATTCTCAATACAGTGTTAGAGACTAAAATGATCAGTGAAGTTTTTTCATTCCAATATATCGCAGAATCTTTAAGAACATTCACATTTATTTGTAAAGGTTTTTTATTCTTCTTCGGTGTTCCCTGTGTACACAACAGGAATGCATATGTGCTAACAAAGCTGAGAGCTCACTGTGCACAGCAGCTTGAGACTGTGACATTGTGGCAGTTAGGGTGATGCTACCGCAACATACGGCGTTATGTCGAGCAGAGCGAGCCAGGCTTGCCATCGGCACACTGTGCTGCGAGAGGTTAGGCTGCAGGGGGAGGGGCAGCCGAAGGGGCTTTTGGGGTGCTGCTTCATGATGCTGTTTACATGACCATTTCCAGCCTGGAAATTAATTAAGTTGCATACATGTGCACATGTGAAAATACATAGGTATATATTCATGTGTGCTTTTACATGTAAATGGGGAATACTGTCAGTAATATTAAGTACCGTTTATTGAGCACTTTTTTTTTCCCCTTTATTGATTTTAGAGAGAGAGGAAGGGAGAGGGCGAGAGAGAAACATTAATGAGAGAGAACATTGATTGGCTGTCTCCTGCATGCACACTGGGGATCGGGCCCACAACCTGGGCACGTGTCCTGACTGGGAATTGAACCAGCCACCTCTTGGTGCATGGGTTGACACTCAGCCACTGAGCCACATGGGCCGGACTTACTGAGTGCTTTTTTTTTTTAATCCTCACCCGAGGACATTTTCCCATTTTTTTGTTCAGGTAGAGTGGGAGGGAGAGAGAGGAACAGAGAGAGAGAGAGAGAAACATCGATATGAAAGGAACACATCGAGTGGCTGCCACCCGCACGACCGACCAGGGCCGGGGACAAACTGCAACCGAGGTACGCGCCCTTAGCGGGAACCGAACCCGGGTCTCTCAGGACCGCAGGCCGACGCTCTGAGTGCTTCTTATGTGCTAGCATTGTGCTAAACTCCGCGTTCTGGTTCGTTCTGATTCCTCATGTGGTGGGTCCTAGACTTGGCAATCTGAATAGGACTTCTTCGAGGAGAACACTAGGGTCCACCAAGTGAGGATGGCCAGCCCGCGCCCTGCCTCCAGGCCGCCAGCGCTGTTTCTGACCTTCCCGGTGCTGGAGTCTCGCGCTGCTGCTTGCGATGGAAACGGCCCCTTCTGGGTGTCTCACGGGCTGCTATGTGAAAGTGAAGGAGCTGAAAGCACAAGCCGGCACAAGGAATGTCCCACGTGATGGCTACAGCCTTCCAGGCCCTGGTCCCACAGGCATCCTGGACCACACCTCCTGAGGCCGGGCCAGCAGCCAGACACTTGGCCCTCCCTAGTGAAACATCAGACTGCCCGGCAGCCGTGGATCCCCGGGGTGTGTGCCATTCCAGAAGGGAGGATGGTCCCACGTGTTTAAGACCTGAGAGCTAATTTTGAGAGGAGTTGAAATTCCAGGAATTCTTTTTAATTGCTGTGATATTAGCCATTTGTGCAACCTTGAGCAAGTCACCTTGTTTTGTTAGAAGAGTCCTCGCTGGGGTCCCTTACTCCTCTCAAATTCTCTGACGCTTCTTTGAATCAGTCTGACAGTAGTCATGGTGGAGGCAGCAGCTAGTGGCAGAGTACGCTGAATGTAAAGAGGATACATTTCGCCCTGGCCGGTTTGGCTCAGTGGTTGGAGCGTCGGCCTTCGGACCAGAGAGTCCTGGGTTTGGTTCCCGCTAGGGGCACATACCAAAAAAAAAGAAAGAAAGAAAAAGGGAAAAAAAAAGAGCATACATTTCAGCTTTGTAAATAAAAGCCTACTTCTAACAGAGATGGCAGTATGGCCAAAGGGCAGGTTCTAGTTGGAAAATCTAGTCTTCTCCATGCTCACTCTTCATTCCTTGTCCGTTTGTGTAGTTGCTGAACTGTGTGTTTCTTCCCTTTGCCATTGGGGTTTAATTTCCTTTTTAAAAAGCCTCTTGAGTAAGAGCAAAAGTCTGAAGCCCTGTGATTGCAGGAGATTGCATAGCAGATGTGCTTGGAACACTGCTCTTCTGGACAGTGACGATTGCTGGTTCATCTCGCACTTTCCTCCTGGCTTCTGTGTAGGTCCCCAGGCAAGAACTATTCTTATGCAATCAAGTTTACCACAGGCGCAGCTGGCTTCAATATGGTAAGGCATGGGAAGTTCTTCGGAAACTATTTCCTAAATAGGTACGGCTTCATCAGTCTTTAGATTAATACCATTGTTTATAGGGAGGAATATGGAATATATTTAATTTTCAGCGACTTGTAATGATTACCTGTCTTAACATTTTCTCATTTGATTTTGAAAAATGCAAAAGCAGAGAGATTAATACAATGAATTCTCAAAAACTCATAACACAGCTAAAATAAGTCTCAACTAATGGCCAGTCCTGGTTCACCCCTCCTCTCTCCTGATTATTTAAAGCCAAATCTCAGTTATTATATCATCTGCTAGTATTTTCGTCTGCTAATATTTCAGATCATATCTCCCAGAGAGATGAATTTTTTTCCAACATGACTGTAATACCTGTAGTCCATCCAAATTTTTAATAGTAATTCTTAATCAGATAGTGTTCAACTTCCTTGGATTGTTTCATAATTTTTTTATGGTTGACTAAAATAAATATATTTTGCAAAAACTGCTTGATACATCTTTTAGGTCTGATTTAACTTACAAACTCCCCCTTGTCTTGTTCTTCACTCCTCGCCCGCTCCCCCTCCTTCTACACAATAAAAAGATATTTAATATAGTGAGGATCCAAATAATTATTTAGGCAAGTATGGGGGGAAAGCAAATAAAGAATTGCACTGCCTTCTAATTGGGTTTACCTAGGAGTGGCTAGTGGGGAGGGGGGGAGGGGGGGAGAGGGGGAGAGGATGAGGCAGCCAGGTTGGGATTTCACTGCTGCCTCTGGGCTGGTTAAGGACGGAGTGTGGCGTCTGGGAAAGGCCAAGCTAGAGGGACGCGAAGGAGATCAGTGGTAACCAGGGCCTGGGCCAGAGGAAGGGGTCGGCCACATGGACTCCAGGACTTTGGGTGGTGATGGAACTGTATGTCGTGGTAGTTACACAACGGACGGTGTTTGTCGGAACATGTGGAACTGTGCTCTAGAAAGGGTGGCTGTTCCCGGGTGGAAATGTTACACCTTTAAGCAGGGGTGGAGAACCTTTTCTCTGCCAAGGGCCACTTGGATATTTATAACATCATTGAAGGCCATAAAAAATTATCAACTTAAAAATTCGCCTGCTCTATTTGGTCAGGCTAATTTGGTGAGGCGTGTGATGTGAGCTGGTATTGATTTCATGGACCTTTATACGGCCCTCAGGCCAGACATTCTCCATCTCTGCAAGAAAAGAGTTTATGCCACCTGAGGAGATTTCAGACCTCAGAGGAGTTTCTTGATTTAAGGCATCAGCCAAGCCAGTTTCCCGCCGTGGCCTCTGTCCTGTGACGTTGTCATGGACAGCTCTGTTGTCCTGCATCCTCCGAATCCAGAATTTAAGTACAGCCACATTCTTGGACTTGTTAGAAAGATCTTTTTACTCTAATAAAAGCTACTTGGGCAAATGGATTGTGAAGAGTTGTGGGGACTGAATCCCGAGAGTGAAAACAGACAACACCTTAGCTGGGGCTGGAGGCAGTGCAGATCCGCTCATAGGCCCTGGGCAGGCGGCTAAACCCAGTGCCCTTGCACGTGCTTCTGTAAATGAACTTTTATTGTAAGAACAACCCCACCCATTTGTTTATATATCATCCATGGCTGCTTTGCTTTCCTGATACTAGGGCAGAATTCGGTGTGATAGAGACTGTGTCCTGCAAAGCTTAAATATTAATGATCTGACCCACTATTTTGCTGAGCATAGTATTTAAATACACAGAGAATGTAAGTATGATACATTTTAAATGGGCTTGCAGGGATTGCAAAACACCATGTTAAACATCAACTATATGGATTGTCTCATTTTATCTTTGCAACAGTAGTATGAAACAGGTACTATTTTTATAAACTGAGGCACAGAGAAATAAAACATTTAAATTACTTATGCATGAATAGTAACAAGCATGCATTTTCATGCAACTAGATTACAGTTAACTTTTTCTTGAATAGGAATCTTTCTGACATTGATCAAGATGGAAAGCTCACAGCAGAAGAGTTTATCCTGGCTATGCACCTCATTGACGTAGCTATGTCTGGCCAGCCGCTGCCACCTGTCCTGCCTCCAGAATACATTCCACCTTCCTTTAGGTAAGGAATATGCAGCTCTTACGAGGCTGTGTGCTGACTGTGTACATGTCAGACTTGGCTTTGTGGGCTATCTCACAGTCATTTTTATTCCTGGCAAGTTAATCAAATTACCATCAATTCAAGAAAGTCTTCTTATCTAGGTTCTGTGTTAATCTTGGGTATGTTCCTCAAGTACTTCGAGTGTCTAGGCAGACGTCGGAGATTGTGGGTTCGGTCCCAGACCATCACAGGAGAGCGGGTAGCCCAGTAAAGCAAGGTGTAATCTTTGCTGGTGGAGAGTCTTTCCTTCTTCAGTTTGTAACAAATGCATTATCTGTAAACGACCGCGAAGCACAGTGAAATGAGTTCTGCCTTGTTAGCAAACATCAAAAGATTGGTGACTTTTGTACCAATCTGTATAATTGAAGCTCACCAGAAATTTTAGCTAAGTGGAACTGTCAGCCTGCACATGGAAAAGAAAGCAAGGAGGTTCTGCCCGTGAATTCTACACGTTTGACCAGACAGAAATGCTGGCAGTGTAGGAATCACAATCGGGAAGGTAATTGGAAAGTTTTCCTGGTGTGAAGCACAGTGTCAGTGGGGACCCGAGCGTGGGCCAGGGTCCAGCTGGGAGGCTGCCGTGACCGCGTCCCCACCTACACACACGCCCACACCCGCTCCCAGACAGCTCCCTCGAAGGACAAATGCGAGATCTTAAACACAAAGAAGAGTGAGAGAAAGAGGAGTTTCTGTGCTAATTCCTCGGACATCAAGAAAGACTGCAGAAAACAGTCTCCACGACAGGAAGGGAAACGGAGCCGGGGCTGTGGCTCGGACAGGGCCCAGGGCAGGCTGAGCCCCTGACTGAAGCCAGCAGTTTGTCTGGGAGACCCCGGGCAGGGGCACTCTGAGCCAGGCTGGAGGCTGAAAAACCATTGACAACAGGTGGGTGTCAGTTCAAAAACGCAAGGTTGACAAGGTGAAACCTGTCAGTAAACTAAGTGCTTTGTTTTAAGGACATTTCAGCCCTGGCCAGTCTGGCTCAGCGGTTAGAGCACTGGCCTATGGAACAGAGTCCCGGGTTCGGTTCCCGCTAAGGGCATGTACCTCGGTTGTGGTTCATCCCCGGGCCTGGTTGGGGTCGTGTGGGTGGCAGCCAGTCGATGTGTCTCTCTTGCATCAATGTTTCTTTCTCTTCCCCCATCTCTCCCTCCCGCTCTAGCTGAAGATAAATGCAAAAATGTCCTCAGGTGAGGATTAACGGAAAAAAAAAAAGAAAGTAGGCATTTCATGTGTTTGTGAAGAGATAAAACAGGGATTTTATAAAGGAAAAGAGATGTTTTCAGTTAGCTGGTCTGCTGATCCCTGGCGGAATTCAACTTTCCCTGAAAGGGGGATGGTCATAGCAGGACACTCACTGTGTCCTGGCCCTGTTCTCGCCACTGTGTGACTATCCACTGAGTCATCTCTTTGGACTTGCCCTAGCTTTGGTGGTGGTTCTGAACATTCGAACATGCTTAGCATTCATTCTGATGACGTTCTGATGATTCAGATACTCATTTTTAAAAAACTCTGTCAATAGTGAGGATCAGATCTTTTTTTGTCCTCTCCCTACACCACGATATGTGCAGAATCTCTTAGAATGCTGTCCTGATCCGCGCAGTCCCACCTGGGCAGCTTTACGTGGACTTTCTTCTTCTCCACCATTGCAGGAGAGTCCGAGCCAGCAGCGGCATGTCCGTCGGAAGCTCAGCTTCGGTAGATCAGAGGTTGCCAGAGGAACCGGTTTTAGAAGATGAGCAACTAGAAAAAAAATTACCTGGTAAGGCAATCTTTATATTTGAGTTCTATCTATCAGAGCTTTTTGTCTCTAAGGCAAAGATAGAGGTAGAAATAAATCTGCCGTCTGACATTCTTACTGTGTTCCTTTAACTGACCTTAGAAAGGGGACACTTTTAATATGCTTTTGAATTTGCATATTTGTATAGAAATGAGAATACACCCTTGTTCTAGCTTTTGCATGGAAATTGGGTTATTTACTACTAAATAAAAAACTTAAAAATGTTATCTATATAGCACTCAAGTTAATACGTCTTTAAGGAGATCGCTTAAATCACTTCTGTTATTTTCTCGTGTTGTTTGAGTGAACTGTAAACTACCTAATAACTAGAGGCTATTTTAAATGTCATATGAACCTGTTTTAAGTAATCCTCATTTACAACGATAACCCCACCATACTATTAAAACATTCTAGGTGGCTGTGAATTATTGATGATATGATGATAGTTGATACTAAGAAGTAAGTGAAATTTATTACGGAGTCTCTTTGTGTCAAATACTTTGTCAGTGTTGTTTTGCTGAATTTAAAGTGCTTGGTGGTTAATTGACGTGCTCAGGATACTAGTTCTTCTAGTTTTCTCTTTACACTAAATTACTGTTTATTCACTGATAAGCCACTTGGTGAAAATGTTCTTCATGCAAGTGTATTGAACACAGTGAAGAATCTGAATGTTGATAATACCTGGTCCATACCCTCTAGAAGGTTATAGTATAACTGAGGGTTTAAGACATCCATAGAAACAATCATCACGGCAGTGTGTGCGTGATCAGTTCCTGAAGGCAGTGTCACACATGCTCGGCACGGCTTACTTGTGGCTGGCTGTCATGGACTGGGAAGGACACAGGGATTCAGTCTCTGTGGAAGAGGACACTGGTAAATTCAGACTGAATAGTGAATGAGGTTGTTGCCCGTGGAATGGAGGAACCTTTCAGGTGGATAGTAATAGGAATAAGGACTCAAAGGCAAATAAGGGCAGGAACCCTAAGAGTTTGGAATTGGCTTTAGCTGTTGCTGATAGACTTCAAGTTTTGAATGGGCATGGCATCGTCAGAGTTTTTTGTTTGTGTATTTTTCTTTCAATAACCATTTATTATGTGCCTTCTATACCAGAAATATGGAATTTAAAAGATGTATAGGGCTTTCAGGGTATTTTTTTTTTTTGAAGGAAGATGCACATGACATAACACTGATGGGTTAGAGGTGCGCAGTTCAGTGGCTGTTGCAGTCAGCTCGGGCCGCCGTAATAGAACGCCCTCATGCGGGCGCTTGCACAGCGGAAGTCTGTTTCTCGCAGCTCTGGGGGCCAGGCAGTCCAGGGTCAGGGTGCCGTCCCGTTCGGTGCCTGGGAAGGGCCCCTCTCGGCTTGCAGATGGCTACTCTGTTGCTGTCTCCTCTGACCTCACATGGCCTTCCTCATTGTGTGCCTAGGGAAAGAGAAAACTCTCTCTTCCTCTTGTAAGGCCACTAATGTTACCATGAGGGCCCCAACCTCCTGACCTTGTCTTTAACCTAATCATAAAGGCCCCATCTCCAAATACCATCACATTAGGGGTTAGAGCTCCAACGTATGAATGTTGGGGAACACACTCAGCCCATAACAGTGGCAGTTAGTGCATTTACAATACTGTGCAGCCAACACCCTATCTAGTTCTGAACTATTTTTTTTTTATCCTCACTCGAGGACATTTTTCGATATTTTGTTCAGATAGAGTGGGAGGGGGAGAGAGAGAGAGAAACATCGATGTGAAAGGGACGCATCGAGTGGTTGCCACCTGCACGACCCAGCCAGGGCTGGGGACAAACTGCAGCCGAGGTACATGCCCTTATCGGGAACCGAACCCAGGTCTCTCTGGACCACAGGCCGATGCTCTAAACACTGAGTCAAACCAGCCAGGGCTGAAATATTTTTATCACCCAAAAGAAAACCCGGTACCCAAGCGCTCCCCATTCTCCTTTCTCCCCAGCCCCTGGCAGCCACCGGTCTGCATTCTAAGTCTCTTTGGACTTGCCTATTTCAGATATTTCATATAAAGAGTATGATACAGCCCTGGCCGGTTTTGCTCAGTGGTTAGAGTGTCGGCCCGCGGACCCAAGAGTCCTGGGTTTGGTTCGCTGAGGGCACGCACCTCGGTTACAGTTTGGCCCCGGCTGGGGTCATGTGAGTGGCAACCACTTGATGTGTCTCTCTCACATCGATGTTTCTCTCTCTTTCTTCCTCCCTCTTTCCCTCCCACCCTTTCGAAGATAAATGCAAAAATGTCCTCAGGTAAGGATAAAAAAAAAAAGAATATGATACGGTGGATAACGTTTTATGTCTGGCTTCTTTTACTGAGTTTAATATTTTTGAATGTCAGCCACGTTATATAGCTTGTGTCAGGGCTTCATTCCTTTCTGAGGCTGAGGGGACTTTGAGTTTTAAGGCAACTGAGTGAAAGGGCTGTTTCCCTTCCCTGAAATCACTAAAGGAGTAAGAAGAACAAAAAGACAGGAAAGTGCTTGCCATCCTTGGTTTCTAAGGGCCAACCACAGTGTGCAGGGCAAGTACGTCCAAAGCAGTGACAGCGACGGGAATGTGGGGAGACTCCACAAAAGAACGCTCACAGCTGCAGGTCTCAGGACAGAGTGTGAAGTGACAGTTCTGTAAATGGGTTGGGAGCCTTGGGAGAGCCTGCCACACTGGCTGGCAGTGAGTGCTCCCCTCGCCTGGGGCTGCGCCCAGGACAAGCACATGAGCAAAAAAAATGAACTAGACACTGCTGAACACATAGTAAGGGGCGTGGAGGATGGGATTGTAAAATAAAATGGATGTAAGTAAAGTGTTAGCAAGGATTAGAGAAAAGAATGACTGACTTGAGAATAGCCTAAAATTCATAATTGGTATTCCTAAAGAAAGAAAGTGAATAATGATTAGGAAAAATGATTTATAGAATGTGATCTGCATAATGATTAGGGCACAGCTTGTTCTTGAGTGTGAAACACAGGATACTTACCTTCCACCTCTGCTTTCCAAAATGGTCTTATTGTTATACTAGACACACCTGTGTTGCCATACACTAAGGGTAGAAAGGAAGACATTCGTGGTACAGACGAGCTAGGGGTTAATTGCTAAATCAAGGACACGGAGAAAGAGATAAATTAACCAAGGAGAGGAGATTGCTGAAGATAACACAGAATTGCTACAGAAAGAGTCTTCTGGTTGCGTGTCAACCAAGAGGTGGCTGGTTTGATTCCAGGTCAGGGCACATGCCCAGGTTTTGGGCTTGATCTCCAGTAGAGGGTGTACAGGAGGCAGCTGATCCATGTTTCTCATCATTGATGTTTCTTCTTTTTTTTTTCCTTAATATGTTTGTATTGATTTTTTAGAGAGATAGAAACATCGATGTGAGAGAGAAACATCAGTCAGCCACCTCCTGCAGGCCCCTCACTGGGGATCGAGCCCACAACCTGGGCATGTGCCCTGACCGGGAATCAAACTGGGACTTCTCAGTCCATGGGATGATGCTCAATCCACTGAGTCACACCAGCCGGGTTCATCATCAGTGTTTCTATCTCTCCCTCTCTTTTCCTCTCTTTGTCTTAAAAAATTAATAAAAACAAAACGAAAAGATTCATCTGGAAACGGTGTTGGGTGTTTTGAACACCCTGAGCTGGCCTTCGGGGCGGAGGGCAGTGTGGGCAGGACTCCAGGCGAAGGGCACCGGCAGGGCTTATACGGAGCCGCAGAGGAGCTGAGGGAGTTCTGGCGGGTTTGTCTATACTGCAAGTTCAGTGTGCCGCTGGGTTTCCTTCCACGGTGGCCATGCCGACTAGGACTTTCCGTAATTGTCTCTTGTTTCAAAGTGACCTTTGAAGATAAGAAGCGGGAGAACTTTGAGCGCGGCAACCTGGAGCTGGAGAAACGCAGGCAGGCGCTGCTGGAGCAGCAGCGGAAGGAGCAGGAGCGCCTGGCCCAGCTGGAGCGCCAGGAGCAGGAGCGCAAGGAGCGCGAGCGCCAGGAGCAGGAGCGCAAGCGGCAGCTGGAGCTGGAGAAGCAGCTGGAGAAGCAGCGGGAGCTGGAGCGGCAGCGCGAGGAGGAGCGCAGGAAGGAGATCGAGCGGCGCGAGGTGAGCCCTTCCCGCCTGAGCCCTTCCCGCCTGAGCCCTTCCCGCGGTGAGCCCTTCCCGCGGTGAGCCCTTCCCGCCTGAGCCCTTCCCGCGGTGAGCCCTTCCCGCCTGAGCCCTTCTTCCCGGCGGTGGAGCCCTTCCCGCCTGAAGCCCTTCCCGCGGTGAGCCCTTCCCGCCTGAGCCCTTCCAGCCTGTAGCCCTTCCCGCGGTGCAGCCCTGTCCCGCCTGAGCCCTTCCGCGGTGAGCCCTTCCCCCTGAGCCCTTCCCGCCTGAGGCCCTTCCCCGCCTGAGCCCTTCCCGCGGTGAGCCCTTCCTCGCCTGAGCCCTTCCCGCGTGAGCCCTTCCCGCCTGAGGCCCCTTCCCCCTGCCTGAGCCCTTCCCGCCTTAGCCCTTCCAGCGGTGAGCCCTCCCGGCATGAAGCCCCTTCCCGCGGTGAGCCCTTCTCGCCTGAGCCCTTCCCGCGGTGAGCCCTTCCCGCGGTGAGCCCTTCCCGCCTGAGCCCTTCCCGCGGTGAGCCCTTCCCGCCTGAGCCCTTCCCGCGGTGAGCCCTTCCCGCCTGAGCCCTTCCCGCGGTGAGCCCTTCCCGCGGTGAGCCCTTCCCGCCTGAGCCCTTCCCGCGGTGAGCCCTTCCCGCCTGAGCCCTTCCCGCGGTGAGCCCTTCCCGCCTGAGCCCTTCCCGCGGTGAGCCCTTCCCGCCTGAGCCCTTCCCGCCTGAGCCCTTCCCGCCTGAGCCCTTCCCGCGGTGAGCCCTTCCCGCCTGAGCCCTTCCCGCGGTGAGCCCTTCCCGCCTGAGCCCTTCCCGCCTGAGCCCTTCCCGCCTGAGCCCTTCCCGCGGTGAGCCCTTCCCGCGGGAGCCCTTCCCGCCTGAGCCCTTCCCGCCTGAAGCCCTTCCCGCGCGTGAGCCCTTCCCGCCTGAGCCCTTCCCGCCTGAGCCCTTCCCGCGGTGAGCCCTTCCCGCCTGAGCCCTTCCCGCCTGAGCCCTTCCCGCGGTGAGCCCTTCCCGCCTGAGCCCTTCCCGCCTGAGCCCTTCCCGCGGTGAGCCCTTCCCGCCTGAGCCCTTCCCGCCTGAGCCCTTCCTGCCTGAGCCCTTCCCGCCGGCTCTTCCGGCTTCCTTTTCTTCCTCCTCTTCAGGGGTTTTGGTGCTGCAGGTGCTGGGAACTATCATCGCTGCTCATTTCAGAGCGTTGTCATCCCAAAGAGAAACTCCTTACCCACTAAGCAGTGCCCCCTCCCTCTCCCCCCTCAGCCCTTAACCCCCACTAGTTTACCTTCTGTCTCTAGAGGCTGCCTGTCTGGCCATTCCACGTAAGTGGAATCGTGACAGAATATGGCCTCTTGTGTCCACTCTCACTTACATGCTGTTTCCAGTTCATCCACGTTAGAGCATGAATCAGCACTGCATTCCTTGCTATGGCTGGATGTGTCCCGTTAATGGATGTACCAGGTTTAGGTATCTGTTCATCATAGATGGGTTGTTGCTACTTTTTGGCTATTATGAGTAATTTTGCTATGAACATTCATGTACAAGTTTTTGATAAGACAGTCTTACAACAAAACACTGATATCAGTTAAGTATTTTTCCAGACCTTTTTTCTCTGCATTTATACACATATATAGAAATATGAAGGTTCATGTGGTGGACAGGCTGGGGCTGGAGCCTGCAGCCCAGGTATGTGCCCTGGACCGGGAATCAAACCTACAACCCTTCAGTGTGCAGGAGATGCTGTAACCACCGAGTCACATCGACCAGGGCTGTAATTGTTTTAACCAAATCATGCTAATATTATTCTGCACCTTTTTCTCCCCCATTTTCAAAAATATGTCTAGGAAATCTTCACTGTTTTGTATGGAAGGGTTCCTAAATTTGGTACCACACCTGGATGGGGCCAAGCTAATCTCTTGTCTGTCCTTTCAGTTTTAGTATATTGCTGCAGCAGCAAAACCCTGATTCTCTTGTGTGAATGAAGTCTGTTTTAAAGATGAGGAATTTGTTTTTTCTTTTATAAATCCTCACCTGAGGATTTTTAGAGAGAGAGAGAGAAGCATCACTGTGAGAAAGAAACGTCGATCACTGCCTCCCAAACGTCCCCCGACCTGGGATCAAACCTGCAACCTTTTGGTGTGCAGGATGACACTCTAACCAACTGAGCCACTGGTCAGGGCTAAAGATGGGTGATTTTTTTTTCCTTTATTGATTTTAGAGAGAGAGGAAGTGAGAGGGAGAGAGAGATAGAAACATGGATGAGAGAGACATCGATTGGCCACCTCCTGCACGCCCCCTACTGGGGATTGGGCCCACAGCCTGGGCATGTGCCCTGACTAGGAATTGAACCAGCGACCTCTTGGTGCAGGGGTTGATGCTCCACCACTGAGCCACACTGGCCAGACTAAAGATGGAGAATTAAAAAAAAATTACTACTTAGGTTTCAACTTCTGATGATTTCTTTAGGAAATTTGTGGGCATACGTACCCTTTTATTCAGGCAGACACACAGATACTAACAGGATTTTGATGTCCAGAATGGGCAGCCTCTAGATAACCTTTTCTTCTTCAATGTAAAAAGGAACAAAGAGGAAATTTTAGAGTATTTATTTAGTATTATTTAATAGGCATTTACCATGTGCCAGGCATTGATAATCCTGGGAGGAATGGCAGTGAAGAGGCACCCCACCTGTCCTCCAGACCCACAAGGGTAATTGGAGGACAGGTACAAGAAGCAAGTACAATGTGGAATGTCGGGGGCTTTGACAGATTCCCTGCCTAAGTCAGCGTTGAGGAGAGCTGGCATTGCCAGAACAATCACAGAACCTGCTGTGGGAAAAAGGAACCGAAAGATCAGGGCGATGGAGGTCACAGTCTTTTAAAACCTGAGCTAAATACAGGTCTGCCCCAAGAGCGTTCCTTTGAAATTGCATGTAAACTTAAAAGGCGTAGTGTGGAAGCAATTACTATTAATTTATAGGGAAAATTTCTGAGTGTTCCCAGACCCCAAAAATAACACACGAAATCATACCAAGTATGCTTAGGTTTGTCCAGTTTTAACTAAGCGTAACACTGTTACTTACCGATCTCCCCTAGGCTTTCTGATACCTGAGGACAGACACATCTTGCTAAAGGGTGCACAGAGCACATGGAGAGAAAGCCCAGATGCTCACAGACACAGCTCAAAGCTCTGGCTGGCTGCTGAGATGCTGAGTGTGCTTCCTGGGGAGGGAGCTCTGCGGGCCACTGGCTGCTCGGGGGCGCTACCTCTGCCAGGTTCTTTGCAGAACAAAAATAGCTGAAGGCTATTTTCATTTTTTGCCTTTTTGATAAAAGCGAAAATCCTCTCAGATTTCTTTCAGTTAGTAAAACAGGCATGAATGTGGCCTTTTCTAAAAGTGAAACGACATGAAGAGGGAGAGACTGGAAGTAATATCTCATTTGATGGAAGAAAGTTTTCTGTTCTGGGGGTTTTGGCTTGCTTTTACTAGATTTAAGACATTTTCTTTGCTCTTTGTGATTTAGTAAATAAAGAAGAACAATTTTATTTAGCACATCGAGCATTCTTGAAGGCATAAACAGTTGAATTCTAATGGTCAAATAAGCCTGTCTGTTTTTATCTTACGTAAATACAATAGCCTTTCTGAATATTCTTGTTTTCCCTTAGAAGGCATACTGTATTTGTGTAAGTTTTGTTTTGCTGTTTTGTAATAGAATTTCTTATAACGTTTAATACTATTTTATCTCTAAAAGAAAAGACTTATTAGTTGTTAACGTCTATTAAGGGACATTGTATAGCATAAGAACTGAAAAATGAATAAATCTTCTGTTTCTGTGTCCCAGGCTGCAAAACGAGAACTTGAAAGGCAACGGCAACTTGAATGGGAACGAAATCGAAGACAAGAACTCTTAAACCAAAGAAACAAAGAACAAGAAGACATAGTTGTACTGAAAGCAAAGAAGAAGACTTTGGAATTTGAATTAGAAGCTCTAGTGAGTGCAGTTTGATTATGCTTTGGGAATATATTAACATCAAACAATGAAAATGATAATAATTCTTATTATTTTTCATTTATTATAGAATGATAAAAAACATCAACTTGAAGGAAAACTGCAAGATATCAGATGTCGACTGACCACCCAAAGGCAAGAAACTGAGAGCGCAAACAGATCCCGGGAGCTGAGGATCGCCGAGATCACCCACCTGCAGCAGCAGCTACAGGTGAGGCAGCGCGTCCCCTGGCAGCTCAGACAGCACCGCCCTGGCCGGGTGGCTCAGTCGGTTAGAGCATCATCCCGACACGCCAAGGTTTGGGGTTCAGTCCCCAGTCGGCACATACAGGAAGCAACCAATGAATGCATAAATAAGTGGAACAACAAGTCAGTGTTTCTCTCTCTCTCTCTATCTCTCTCCTTCCTGCCCCACACCCCCTCTTTTTCACTAAATCAATTTTTAAAAAAAGCTAAACTAGCACCAAGCATTTACCATACACGAGGCTCTGGGAGTCATGATGAAGTAGATAAGGTCCTTGCCTGAAAATAGGCTGTCAAGCAAGCGAACTCGATACGTGTTTGCTGAGCACTGCTGTGTGCCAGGCCAGGCACTCTCGTAGGCAGAGGGCCCAGCAGTGAGCAGAGGTCAGGCCCTTGCCTTCGTGGAGCTAACCTTCTGTTTGCAGGGCAGACAGACACTAAGCAAACAAGTCAGGTGTGCCCTCTGTTCGATGATGAAAAGTGCTCCCCAGAGTGAGAAGGGAAGAGACAGTCTTGGGGCTGGGCAGGTCAGGCCTCTCTGTGAGGGTTCCATCTCAGCAGAGGTTAAGAGGTGAGCGGCTAGGCAGTGTGGATGTCTGTCTGGCAGAGCCAGCCCCGGGTAGGGAAACAGCAGTGAGAAAGTCCGAGGCTGTAGCTGGTAAGGGCTGGATCATATGGGACCTGCAGTCCATCGTAGGACTCCGGCAGTATCATGATAATGACAATGAAGAAGGTGCAGTTTAAGTATTTTAGGGGGAGTTTGAGAGCTATACATATAGAGAATAGTTGGGAACACAATAGAGTTCTACTTCTGTTTCATTACCTTTGCAAAGTTGACCACCAAGTTGTCACATCACCTGGTCTGGTTTTGGATGTTGTGGGAGCATCAATTCCTATGGATACTGTTCTGCATATCATCATTTTTGAACTTTGTGACTTTTATCTCAGCCTCTTTTTTCTCAACATGATGATTTTGACGTTTATCCATTTTGTTGTATTCCTTATTTATCCATTCACTTGTTGATTGACATTTAGATTCTTTCCAGTTCTGGAGTTTTATGAACAAAACTGCAGTGATCATTTATTTACAGGTCTTTAGGTGGAAATAGGTTTTGTTTCTGTTGGTTAAATTTTAGGAGTGGAATTTCTAGTCATAGAAGTGTATGCTCAACCCTATAAAAAACTCTCAGACTGTTTCCAAAAGGTTGTATCATTTTGCATTCTCACCAGCAGTGTATGAATGCTTCAGTTCCTCCTCCTTGCCAAGATTTGGCATTATCATTGGTAGTTTTAACATTTCTGCTTGGTGTGGAACAGTATCTGACGGTGGCTTTAGTCTGCGTTTCCCCGAAGGCTAATGCTGTTGACATCACTTCATGTGTGTATTGGCATGTATCATCTTGTATACGTCTTTTGTGAACAAATCTTTTGCCCAATTTTTTATTGGGCTGTTTATCTTGTGAATTTTTTATTCTTATAATAATTCTTTTGTCAGATACGTGCTTTGCAAATATTTTTACCCAGACTGTGGTTTGCCTTTTGTGGTTGTAATAGTGTTCCTTAAAGGGCAGAAGTTTTGCCCTGGACGGATTAGCTCAGTGGTTGGAGCATCGGCCCGCGGACCAGAGAGTCCTGGGTTCAGTTCTGGCTAAGGGCACGTGCCTCGGTTGCAGTTCGTCCCCGGTCCCGATTGGGGTCCTGTGGGTGGCAGCCACTCAATGTGTCTCTCTCACATCGATGTTTCTCTCTCTCTCTTCCTCCCTCTCTCCCTCCCACTCTGTCTGAAAATAAAGGCAAAAATGTCCTCGGGTGAGGATTTAAAAAAATAATAAATAAATAAGTGGTAGAAGTTTTAAATTTTAATACAGTTTAATTTTTCTTTTATGGTTCTTGGTTTTTGTATTCTGTCTAACAAATATCTTTGGTTATCCTAAGATTGAAAATATTTTCTTTTCTGTTTTCTTCCAGGAGTTTTGTAGTTTTATTTACATGTTTAGGTTTATGATCCATTTCAAGTTGATTTTTATACAAGTAGAACGTAAGGGGTTAGGTTCATTTTTTCCCATACCAATACCTAGTTGTTTTAACAACATTTATTGAAAATACTCTCATTTTCCCAAGGAATTACCATGGTAGCTTGTTGTAAATCAGTTGACCATATTTGTAAAGACTCTGTTCTGTTCCATGGATCTGTGTCTGTTCTTTCACCAGTACCTCACTCTGTTGATAACTAGCTTTATAATAATTTTTGAAATCAATTTCTGAGAGATCTTCAGTATTCTTTTTTATTTAATTATCTTGGCTATTTTATGTATTTGACATTTCCACATAAGTTTTTACAAAGCTTGTTTTTTCAATCAGCTTGTTTTTACAAAGACACTTAGAATTTTGATTGGTGTTTCATTGACTTCATAAATCCATTTAGGAAGAATCAGCATCTTGACAGTATTGAGTCTTATGGTATATTTCTCAATTTTATTTTGGTTGTTATAAATTTCTCAACACTGTTTTGTAGTTTTCAGTGTGTGAATCTTGTACATATTTTGTAAAGTTTATCCCCAAGTATTTCCTGGTTTTTGATGTTATTTTAATTTCTAAGTATTTGATGCCAGTTTATGAAATATAATTTATTCTTATATATTGACCCTTATAGCTATGATATTGCTTAACCTATTTATTCTAATAGCTTTTTCCTGTCTTCCTTAGAGTTTCTGTGTACATAAGCTTGTTTGTGTATAAAGACAGCTTTATTTCTTACTTTCCTATTTATATACCTTTTATTTATTTGTTTATTTAGTCTTAACTGCATTGACCATAGCCTCCAGAACTATTTTGAGTAGAAATGGTGAGAGTCTTGTTCTTGATCTTAGGGAGAAAAGGATGCAGTTTCTCACCATTAAGTGTGATGTTAACTGTAGGGTTTCTGGTAGGTGCACTGGATCGGGTGGAGGGACTGCCCTGCTGTTCCTTTTTTGCTGAGAGTTATTATCATTAACAAGTATCCAATTGGGTCATTTTTTTTCCTGCATTTATTGAGATGTTTACATGTTTTTTCCCCTTTATTTTGTTAATACAGGGTGGGGCAAAAGTAGGTTTATAGTTGTTTGAATGGAAAATAATACAATAATTAATAACTAATAATACAAGAATAAACTCTGTTTTGCATACTTACTACTACTTTTGCCCCACTCTGTATAATAATTTACTTTGGTTGAAATTTGAATGTTAAACGAACCTTCCATTTCTGGGGTAAAACACACTTGGTCATGATGTATTACCATTTAAAAAATATTTTACTAGATTCATTCAGTTTTCTCTTGCTAAGGATGTTTTCATTTAAATGCATGAGAAATATTAGCTTACTGTTGTTTTGTAATGTCCTTGCCTAGTTTTGGTATCAGGGTAATAAATACAAAAATAACTTGGAGAGTATTATTTTCTATTTTCTAAAAATGTTTGTGTTGAAATGGTATTTCTTCTTTGAACATTAGGTAGCATTCACCAGGGAAGCCTTCTGTACCAGGAGCTCTCTGTGTGGTAGAGCTTTTCATTGCAATTTTATTCAACACATGCATGTCTACTCATATTTTCTGTATTTTTTTTTTGGTCTTGATAATTTCTCTTACAATGATTTCATCAGTTTCATCTAATAAATCAAATTTATTCGTATAAAGTTGTTTACAATATTCTGTAATTATTCTTTAGAAGTCTGTAGTATCTGTAGTGATGTCGCATCTTATTCCTGATATTGAAAATTTGTATTGTCTCTCTCCCTCTCCATCTCTTTCTATTCCTCATGTTCTCCCTTCCCCTCTTCCTTCTCTTAATCCTCTCTTCCCTTCCTCCTTTTTCTTTTCTCCATCAATCTAGCTAGAAGTTTATTGGTTTTATCGATTTTTTAAAAATAAGCCTTTATTTTTACTGATTTTTCTCTGTGGTATGTTCATTTTCTATTTATTTATTGAGGTTTTTTACTATTTCCTTCTATCCACTTTGGGTTTAATTTGCTTATTTTTAGTTTCATAAGGTGGAAGCTTACATTATTGACTGTGGATCTTTTCTTCATTTCTGATATAAATATTTTTAAGCTATAAATTTCCCTCTAAGCATTGTTGTAGTCATTATTACACAAATTTTTAATAAGTTATGTTTTCATATTCAATTATAAATCTTTTATTTTCTTTGTCATTTTTTCTTTAATGAGTTATTTAGACTTATGCTGTTTGGTTTCCAAATATTTGGATTTTTTTCCAGATGTCTTTCTGATTACTGATTTATTTATGTTATAATCTGTGAGCTTACTCTGTATAATTTCAATCCTTTCTCATCCTTTTAAGTTTATTGGGCCTTACTTTATGGCTCAGCACACACTCTGTCTTGCTGAATATTTCTTGTCACCTGTAAGGAATGTGCATGCACTCTGCTGTAGTTGGGTGGAGAGTCCCATAAACATCAGCCAGATCAAGTTGATTCATGTTGTGTCTTCTACATTCTTTGTGATTTTGTGACTGCTTTCAGCTGCCGAGAGTGTTGATATCTACCATTTCTCTAACTCTGTTTCTCTTTCAGTTCTGTCAGTTGTTGTCTCACATACTTGGTGGTCTTAATTGGAGATAGTAGCATATGACACAACGTAAACAGCATCAGATGTTCACTGCCACAAATTGCTTGAAGATATTTAAAAATTGCACACATCCTTTTAGTACATGCTTCTATATTCTAGCTCTCTTTATATGTCTTTCATTAACTCTTTATACGAAGTTTCATGAAATATTCCCTTGTGCCCTGCCGGTTTGGCTCAGCGGTTGGAGCTGTGGCCTGCGGACATGAGAGTCCTGGGTTCGGTTCCCTCTAGGGGCACGTACCAAAAATTAAAAAAATATATATATATATCCCTTTGGAAATTTTAGGAGTGAAGGTCATGTGCTTATTTATTATTGCACTGAATGCTCTGGGGTCAAACACACT